AGGGAGCCCATGCGGCCCAGGGCCCAGCCTGGCAGCTCTGCCCCTGATGCTAGGGGGTGCAGCTGGGCCAGGAGAGTACACACAGGGGCTGCCTGGTTCTTACACATCTGACTCCGCAACAGATGCGCTCAGGTTACCAGCCACCAGCCTGGGCAGCCCGTTGTTGAGCTAGGACCGGAGCAGACGCCAGCCCTGCAGCTGGCACTCCGGGGAGGGCTGGGCAGGCCGTGCCAGGCAGGCGAGGCTGGCTGTTTGGCACTGGAGCGGGCAGCTCAGAGGCTGCTGAGTGAACATGGCAGAGCAGCGAGCAGGGCCCGGCTGGCGGGCTACCTGCCAATGCTCGGCAAACTCCTAGGTCCCCAACGGCAGCACCAGCTGGCAGGCGGCCAGTGACCGGGGAGGGAGGGGCGGTGTTCAGCCCAAGCCACGAGACTCGCCCTACTGCCACCAGCCCCACGCTGGGGGTCCCGCTCCCCCCCGGTCTCAGCACAAGGAGCTCTTCTCCACGCGCCTGGGGCAGGGTGAACTCTCGTCTCTCCGCTGAGCCGCTCCTCTGGGAGGTTTGGCACCGCTGCAGCCTTCGCATCTCCCCACCGCTCTCCATGTGCCACGGGGCCCCGAGTCTGGGCAGCGCCAGGCGGGCAGTGCCGTGAGCTTCGAGTGGGCACCGAGCCTGCAGCCCAGTCAGCCGATGCACTTGCACTCAGCCGCAGAGAGCTTCTCCACCGTCTGCCAGGTGTTTTGCACGTTCATGAAGGAGACGGCTTCGTAGCGGGTGGGCCGGCAGCAGGGATGGCTGGCCACGTGGCCCGGCGGGCCCGGCTTGATGGCCTTCTCCTGCAGCAGGGTGGCCAGCGTCAGGTCGTAGTTGCTGCGGCTGCGGTGGCAGGACCCGCTGCAGTACTTGAAGGGCACGATCTCGTCCGAGTCGAAGCCCAGCCCCAGGTCGCGCACCTTCACCATCAGCCTGCGGACGGTACAGTTGGGGCCGTCCCTGCGCCGGCCTGCTTTCTTGCCTTTGGCGGGGCCCAGGGGCGAGCGCTCGGCCCGGAGTAGCAGGTCCTTGGCCAGCTCCCCCTCCCCGGGCCCCGCTGCCGTCACATTGTCCCCTGGGAACACAGGGTAGTCAGCCAGAGTACGCCCCCCACACACACACACTCCTTCCTGCCCCAGAGGGGCTGTCTGGTGCCAGGAGGACCCGCAGCACGGCGAGCACCCGTCTGCCCACGCACACACCCAGGGCTCAGAGCGGGCAGGTAGATGCCAACTGGCTCCCACGGCCAGGACTCAGCCCTAGCATCAGCTCCGGGGGCAGGGCCCCACTGCCCTGGGCTCTGCCCGTCCCCTCCTGCGGTGGCCAGGGGCCCTTTTGGGGGCGCACTCCTGCCTCAGCTCTGGGGCTCAGGGTCACCAGAAGCCTGCCCCCTCCTGGTAGCCCTGCTGCCCGCCAGGTCCCAAGCAGTGCTGGGACCCACAGGGCTCTCTGCTCCCGGAGCGCGAGGCATGACACAGGGGCACAAGGGGCCTACCCTTCCCTAAGCGATACTGACCCAGGCACCCCCATAGTGCCTGGTCCTTCTCCTGCCCCATGCCCTCCCGCTCACCCCTCCTCCCACACTCACACCTACCGGAGAGGTGGCTCCAGGCTGCGGCGAGCGGTGCCTCCAGGCTGTCCTCTGCTCCGGGGCTGGCGGTGCCCACGCCGCCCGCAGTGGGTGCAGCCCCCAGGGTCGTGTTGCGGTGCCAGGTGTGCGGGGTTCCCGTGGCCACGCCGCTCAGCAGCGACAGGATGGCGAGGGCACCCCACAGCGCCCCCTCCTGGAACACAGCACAGGCTCAGCATGGCAGCAACACGCACAGGGTGCGGGCCGGGCGCAGGGCAGGATGGGGTGCTCCATGCGGCAGCCCCAAAGGCAGGGCTCCCAGCCTGCCCAGGAGAGGGCCAGAGCCCGGGAGTGTGGGGGGGCAGGAGAGGGCAGGCCAGGGGAGGGGAGCAGGGCCCACAGGGGAAAGCCAAACGAGCCAAGGCTGCATACCCCTCACCTGGGCCCTGCTGCCCCCCAGCCCTCCAGGTGTTGCTTCTGCAGGGGCTCTGGAGCGGGCCCTCTCCCATGGGGCTGCACTCACCCTGGGCCTTTGACACAGAGTCCTCGTGGTGGGGGAGGCCGGCCCCCCTGCTGTCTGCTCCATCCTGTCTGCAAACACAAAGATGGGGGTGAGTGTGAATGCCCCTGGGCTGGGGATGCCGGGGAAGGAAACCCACCCATGGGGCTCCTCCAGCCACCCCACCCAGCCAACCACCCCCTACCCCAGACACATGGCGCCTTCACCCAGCCCCACATGCCTGGTCCCTGCCTCGCTCCAGACAGGCAGCGTTCCCCGGGAGGACTGGACTAACGTGGGGAGCGGGGGGTCAGGACACAGCTCCCTCCAGCCTGTTAGTAAACACAGCCCCATACCCCCCACTTGCAATGTCACCCCCCACCTTCCCCTCACTGCCCTCCACCCCAACATTGACCCCCCTCCCCCACAGCCCTCTGACCCCCAATATCGCCCCCCCCCCGTTGGTCCCTGGGGCTGTAGCTAGCAGCTGGCCGGCCCATGGCCTCCCAACAGGGGTTAGTGCCAGTGCTCTGGCCTGGGCCCTCTTCCCAGGGCCCTGGGAACGTGGCTTCCCCTGACTGGCGTAGGCTGGGCTGCCAGGGCTACCCCGGCAGGAGATCAGGGTTCTGGGGGCGTTGTTCCCTGGGCCCTTCCCCCGGAACCTTTTCCTTGTTCAGGGTGGGACCTGAGCTCGGAGATCCATTAACGCCGTGGTCTCTAGGTGCCAGAGTATGCCCAGCTCCGCCAGTCTGACATCTACAGCCCTGCGCCCAGCTGCTGCGACCCACATGAGAGGAGGAGCCGTGCCCAGTGGTGGAGGCAGGGGAGCTGGGTACCAGGGTTTGGGCAGCTGGACCATGGGAGTGGCAGGGGGTGCAGAGCCCTGCAAGGACCCTCCCTCTCCAGGGCAGCCCCACAGGCAGGGGGAAAAGCAGGGGAGCCCACTAGGCTTAGGGTGACCAGATGTCCTGATTTTATAGGGACAGTCCCGATTTTTGGGTCTTTTTCTTATATAGGTTCCAATTACCCCCCACCCCATGTCCCGATTTTTCACATTTGCTATCTGGTCACCCTAACTAGGCTGCCAGACCCAGGGTGAGCATGGCTCCTTGGGGGAAGGGCTGCGGGGCCATGGGTGGCTTCCCACCCACCCCCTCTGCATGGGCTGGGGTGGGGACACAGGCCCCAGGGCTGTCCACGGGCAGCATGGGCTGGCAGAGAGCCTCCAGCTGTGGGTGCTGCAGGCAGGCAGGGGGCACCGTGCGACCAGCCAGCCCAGGACAATCCTGCCAGCTTTGCTCAGGCCCCAGGCGGCCCCGGCCAACGCCTGGACTCGGCCCCCGTTCATAACCCACAGGGCCAAGGTGCTGCAGCTGCGCAGGAGAAGGGGGCGAGCATGGGGGGCGAGCATGGGGCTGGGACAGAGCTGGAGATGCCAGCCTGAGAGAAGAGGGCCTGGGCCAGGCCTTTGCAGCGGGAGCGAGTGCGCGGGGGCAGTCACCTCCGGCTGGGCACCTCCAAATCCTCCGGGGAGACAGGGCCCAGCGCCATCACCTCGGGCTGTGGGCCTGTGCTGCTCAAGATGCCAGCAGGGTCTCTGCCCAGCTGCAGCTGGTCCTGGGGGTGGTTGGGAGCCGCCCCGCGTGGGGAGCTGGACACCACCTGCCCTGCCAGGTCGGGCCCCCTCCGGTATCCCACGGCTGGCTAAGTTGCAATTCTCCACTAGCCCTGAGGGTGGCAGCACAGACCCAGCCTGTGCCGACCCTTCACCCTGTCACTGCAAACCCAATCCGGAGAGAATCCCCCTTTCCCCATCCCTTCCCACGCCCCCGGGGGCCAGCCAGCCCCGCACCGTCACCTCCAATCCCGCACTAACGGCCAGCACCTCACAGGCGGGAGGATCCGCAGGGGCCAAGGGGCACCCAGCGACCCCAAAGTGCTGGCAGACGAGCCCCCAGGGTCACCCCCTCCACGCAGCGAAGGGACTCTGGCCCCAGCCTGACCCGAGGGGGATGGGCAGTCTGTCACCCACACGCTGCCCGTGCCTCAGCCCACACCGGCTGCCTTGCCAGACCCAGCAGAGGCCGAGCTCAGATCCCAGCTCTGCTGGAAGGAGCGATTCCACCCATCCTAGCTGTCAGGGCGCCGTGGGCAGCAGAGGGGGCTGCCGGCTCCCCGCAGGCTAGGCGTGCCCACCTCTGCCAGACACTTGGGACGGAGCTCAGAGGGGGGCACTGTGCCCTGGCGGTGCAGACACCCAGGGGCTGGGCGGGCAGCTTCCACCCCTCCCAGGGCCCCTGGGGAGCAAACCCAGGACAGAACCGAATCTGCTCCAGCAAGAATGGCTCCTCCTGCCCACCCCATTAGCTGCTCCCATCCCAGTCCCCGAGGCTGTGGGCATAGAGTCACACCTGGGGCCACAGCCCCGCCCTGGAGGAAACACAAGGACACACTGACCCACAAGTCACCTGCCTCGGGCGCTGGCCCAGCCGTCTTCTCAGCAGGCCTGTTAACTGCAGCCGCCGCCCCGGCCTCAATCGCCAAGTCACAGGAGACCTGGGCGCTGGGCTTGTCTCCCTCCCACTGGGCAACAGAGATAGGCAGGTCTGCGGGAAACGCCTGTCGCGGGTGCCCACCCTGGTAGGCTTGGAGCTGTCCAGACCCGCCCAAGAACCACAACGGGGGACAGGACAAGGTCAGGCCACCCCTTCAGCACGAGAGGGCAGCCGCTCCGGATATGGGATTCCCAGCCCCTCCTGCCGCTGGAGCCAACCCCAAAGCTTCTCCTCCAACAGCTCCTCAGCCTGGGGATTGGCACGTGCCACTCCCAGCCCCGATTCCCCGGCTCAACGGGCCCACGGAGAACAGCTCCCGTAGGGTGGTGGGGCGACAGAGCACGGCACGGCCGGCACTGCTAGCCAACTGCAGGGTTTAGTGACTCAAGCAAGGCCAGCGAGAGCAGGACACAACACAAAGGCAGGCAGCCGGGGGGCGCCAGGAGGGAAGGGCCGGGGCGCCTGGAGCCTCTGTGGGAAGGAAGGGACCCAGCATGGTGCCCATGGCTGGGAGGCTGCTCACAGCTGTGGGATCAAAGGATTGAGCCAGACAAGGTGCCTGGCAAAGCACAGGGAGGGTGAGAGCACACATGGCACCGTCACAGCCTCCAGCTCACCGCACTGCAGGCAGAACCCAGGCGTCTGGGCCGGCTGAGAGCAGCGGGCCGGGTGGGCAGGGGGCGCTGGGGACAGCGCGGAAGGAGGCGCAGGAGGGACTGGCAGAGGCAGGGCAGTGAGGACTGGAGGGCGGAGCTGGGGAGGCTGCAGCGTCAGGCAGGCAGTGAGCAGAGCACAGACTTGCCCAGGGCAGCAGGAAGGCGGGGGAGGGAGGACAGGCCCCTCGAGGGCCCAGAAAGCAAGTGCCACCCCGGGGTATGTGCCGGGCAGAGGCAGCACAAGGAGGCGGGACGTTGACGGGGATCCTCGCGCCTCAGGTACCCGAGACCCGCAGCGCCAGGAGAGCTGGGTGCTGGGCAGTCGCTGCCAAGCTCTGGCCCCTGGGAGAGTGGCTGCTCACATGGGGCTGGCTCCTGGCTCCTCTTCTCTCTGCAAGACCCGGCTCTGGAGCCCGGCATTGCCCCAGACGCTGCCCCGGGGGGACTCCCGAGTAAGGCAGAGGCGCTGACCCGAAGCCGGCGGGGTCACGCAGACCGTGTGGCGTGCAGGCGGGACACATTCACACACAGCCCATGCCGGAGGAATGACGGAAGTGGGCTGAGAGCAGAAGCAGCCGGTGAAGGGAAGCGGTTGGTGGCTCGTGCAGGAAGGCAGGCCCCGGGCACGGACTGGGGGCA